AAGCATGGGCAGCAGTGGGAAGCTGCCCCCCTCCTCCACCTCACCCAAGCCCACAGTAGGCAGGCAGCAGGGCAGGTGGAAGCTGGGCTCTGGTCCACTACTGTGGGGGGCAGGGGTCCCTGGCCCCATAGCCCTGGCAGCTGGGGACTCCCTCCGGCAGGGCTGGAGGTGGCAGAGGGCCCAAGCAGGGCCTGGGAGGGGTGGAAGTAACAGGCTTTTCATTTTAAATCATGGGATTTTAAAAAAATAAAGATAACAAAATTGAGAATTCTTTTTGTCAGGGAATTGGCAATTATATACAATCAGGGAAAACCAGGATTCCTGCTGATAATTAAACCGGAGTGCTACAGCTGCAAAATCTGCACCAGTATTACTAGATGCTAACCTTGTACATTTTAGACCGTTAATATCTGGAAAGCCCAGTCATATCTGGGGAAATCTAATGGGAGGGGGAGAAGTGGTGGAGGGGGAGTGAGGAAAAAAAAAGAGTAGCATGTCATGCTTTATAATGAAGGCAGCAACGGGCAGGACCATGAGTTAGAAAATCCCATATCTGTCTAGTGCCCTCTGTGGCTCTGGAAGTCACTTAAACCTTTCTGCACCTCAGTTCCTGGACTCATGGGAGAACTGACACATTCATATATCATTGGGGAGTGTTGTAAGCTTGATTAATGCTGTAGCTGGCCTTCACTCTGACCTTTATGGAGGCATACATGATCTGGAACCCAAGAACTGTTCTGACCCTTCTCTTGTCCACCCTGTGCTGCTAACTCTCTAGCTGCAGGGGCAGAGCCTGCAGCCCCCTGCCATTTCTCTTCAGAGGCAGCGGAGGAAGGAACACTCACTGGAAAATACAAAACAGCTCCTATTACTCCAAGAAGCTGCTATAAATTGGTGCAGATCATGGACTACACAGAGGTGGTTTATACCCCTTTAACCCAGGCCTCAGCCAGACAGGGTGGGGGCTCCTCCTGTAAAGACTACAGTTAGTAGAAAGCATCAGACTGCCCACGAGTTAAACACAGATACCGTCTTTCATTTCCAAATTATTGTATTATGGGTCAAGCCTGGGAACACTACCCCACACAAATTATATCAGAACTCGGGGGTCCTGGTGCTGCTCTGGGAACTCTAATGATAAGGAAACATAAGCACTACGTACTCTACAAACAAGCCTTGTTCCAAGTCACACATGCTGCATATATGCACTGGAGAACTTACTTTTTTGCCTTCTCCTCTTTTGCCTCTCCGTCAGATCGTTTGGCTGATGCAGTACTTAGGGCAGCGATGTTTTTTTCCTCCCTCTCTTTTTCCAGTTTCTTGGACTTTTCCTTTCTCTCCAAATCGCGTTCATCTCTCTCCGGCTTTTTAAGTAGCTACGTACAAAATGCAAAATTTATTTTCTTAAAAAACACCTTGCAATCCTACACTGCTCTGCGTTTTAGTTCAACTTACAGTAGTTGAGCTATAATCTATGTCATGCAAGATGTATGCATTCCTGTAACTACCTACCCGTCACACTCCAGACTCACAGGTTGTGCTGTCTACAGAGGAAGTTGTGACCCAGCTGCACAATAGCATTTGTTTTCAATTTGAAGAAAAAGAAAAGTTCAAACCAGAAATCATACACACAACCAAGACCCAAGCTTCTATATGTTTTGGGAAAAAGGAAACACATGCTTAAGTCACACCAGGCAAACTCTTCATATTTATCAAGACACAGGAAATAACAAATATAGCATGAAGATCCTCAGTATATTTAAAATAAGCTCGAATGTTATGAAATTGGAATCACCAACAACTACTAAATTCTATTTTATTTTTAGGTTAATATAAGGCATACACTTTTAGAGATGCTGTAAGGCAGGTTCCATATGGGATGGGGGAGAAATTCTCTCTAATAATTCAACGTCCTATACCTTAATCTTTGGTTCATCTTTTGATTTGTCCCTTTCTTTCTCTGGAAATCTTTCTACTTTCTTCAATTTCTCTGCTTCTTTTCTTTTCCTTCTCTCCTCCTCTTTCCACTTTCTTCTTTCTTCTTCTCTTTGTCTTTTTCTTTCCAGTTCTCTCCTTCTCCTCTCCTCTCTCTTTTCTTCTCTCAGTCTCTGAAGTGGGAAAGAAAGGGAAATGGGATATGAAGTGAAAATTCCTTTTAAAATGTCCACAAAGTCTCCTGGCCAGAAATGATACAAAAATTCTTCAAAATATACCAATATAAAACCTGTATCTAATTCTTAAGAAATGGTAAACTTCAGTAACATTATTACCTAAAACTTGAAAAATTGTAGGGTCAAGGTTCGAGAGAAAGTAACTGATAAACTTGGATTTTAATCTGAAAGATCACCCATACCCTCTTATGACTTTCCCACCATTAAAAATTAAATACAAAATTACTGTAGGTTTCTAGGGGAAAAAAAAGAAAAGTCAGATATAAAACAGAATCTGGTTGGCCAGTCACACAGTTGCACTTAACTATGCATGGTATTTCACTGCAACCAAGACTGTTTTGGTAAGTCTAGTCATTCACAGCACAGTCTGAGGTGTTTAGCAATTTGAAAATGGCTTCTGAACACAGTTTAAAAGTTATAACAACTAACCGGGTCTCCCAAAATATTACAACCTATTTCCAAATAAAATCATCAGACTAAGAGCCTGTACCCACTACATTTTTTGCCTGCCAACAAGCTTGTACAGCAGAAGTAGGGCTATAGTTGGCCTACACACAGCACTGCCATCCATCTTGAACCCCCCAAAAAAACACTAATTTATGAAGACACCACTGTGCATACACAATTTCTGTAGAAGCAAGGAAGAAAAAAATTCTATATAGAAAAATCCTACCTGCTTATTTTTCAAGAAGTTCAGAAGAGGAGTTGTTCTTTTAGCTTAAAGGGAAAAAAAAAAAATCAAAAAAGTAAATACTGTGTCTTATCAAAAACCTTATATCTGTACACAGAACTATGAGGTAGATGAGAGACCTATCATTTTAAGCAGTCCAAGACTTCAATGATACTAACTCTAAAAAAAAAAAAAAGGAATACAGAATACTCAACATACAAGAGTTGCAAACTCAGGAAATACTGCACCATGTAGATCTTTCCATGCTATAGAAAGAGGTTCATGTCTACAAGATAGTAGTTTTCATACCTATTAGCTCTTTGTTTCTTGCTTCTATTTCCTCCAGTAGTGTTTCAGGAGTAGATGTTAATTTTTCATCATCTGCACTGTAACTTTCCAAAAACTTCTTATACTCTGGGTCTGGGGAGATAGATTGATGCGTCATAAAACACACATGCATGCCCTCTACTGGAAGTCTGCCATGGGCATTTTGCATTCTCTTTAACACAGTTCTTCAATGAACTACAGCCCCATATTTCTCTTTAGCCAAGTTAAATTGTACACTCTGAGACAGGGACCACACTGCCTCTTACGTTTAGTAAATTATGCAATTAATTGCAACACTAATGCAAAATTTCAACTTCTTTATACAGTATAACCTTATAAATCCAGCATCTTTGGGACTTATCACCTGTTGGAAATTTGAAAATTCAAGATTTTTTAAACATGGAAAGTGCATAACTTGGCACTGCCTGTCCGGCTGGACACAGGAAGGAAGCTTGCATGCGGTGGCTGCCGCTGCCATCCACTACCCTGTGTCGCCACTCCATATACGGCTGCTGCTACTCTCGCCCCCCACTGCTCCGCAACTGGCTGCAGGGGGTACACTGGTCAAAAAAGGTTGAAAACCCCCGATGTAGTGTATTTTTAAGAAGTGCTGGATTTTTGAAAAAACAAATTTGTGAGGTTATACTTTACCATGATTTCTGTATTAAGCTAACTTTGTTATTAGTTTATAGTGCACTAGCAGAAAAGCAGGCAACTGAGCTTGGAGAAACTTTTGGGACAAACACCACCTTTTCACTGCCTGCCTGCATAGTGTTTAATACAAAGGGATCATGACCTTTAATTGCAGCCATGAGGCACCACAGTAATACTTTTGAAGACATTTTGGAGAATTTTTTTTTCCACAAGTTACGTATCATACTTGTTAAGTTTAAAGTTTGCAAGCATTCTCTTGTGATGCTAATGTTACATAGTTAAATAATAATAATAATAATAATAATAATAATAATTCACATTTTTGCTGTAAGATGGTTCTGCCTCATGTATATCCAGCAGGTTATAAACACACACAAACAAACAACCCTAGCTGTTATACCATCGTCAATAGTCCCAGTTTTGGCATCCTTTTTCTTACTCTTCTTTTTTGCAGCTTTTTGAAATGGTGCAAATTCCACTATGGCAGCATATTCCTGACCTGTTATACATGGAAAAGAAAAAAACCCAGAAATAAAAACACACAATTACTTAAATATCTGCCACTATTTTACATTAGGATAGATACTTACAAGAAACAGGCAACCCTAGAACATCTAACTAGATATTTCATTTACAGACTATAAACAGAATACATTGAAAAACAGCATTAAATGAATGCTAAATTTGCAAAGCCTAGCACTCAGAAGTTCAGAAGTTTTAGTAGTAAGGATGCCCATTAAATTTTATATTTATGCATTATGGTCATGCCCCATTTTCCCCTGTACACTCCCCCTACTTCATTCATTGTGTGAATAGAAGGTGATATTTTAAAAGTAACGGTGGAGAAAAAAAAAAATCCCTAATCTTGATAATATCCATGCATAATAGCCCAAATCTTCTTTTTTCAAGGTTTCTTCTGAATGGCAAGCATATTAAGTTGCATAGATTCAGTATATTACTGCATAAAGATTACATGAATTCCTGGGGTTCAAAGCCACAGAAAATATATGCATTTCAAAAGTGATGCTTGGACTTATGAAAGGACTAAAGCATGATAATTAAGCTTTCATTTACTGCAGGGTAAGAGTGACCAGGCAGGTAAGGGCTGTAAAGGAAATGATACAAAGTAAATAATCTCTTTCCTCTTTTACCTCAGCATAACTATGTTTCACCTAATGCCATTGATAAACAAGTCAAAAGATACTAAGTATATAACCACATTTTGAGTACTTGCCTTTGTGATCAACAAAAACATAACCATCAAAACGATCCCTGAATAGTACTATGTCTTCTTGGTTTTTAAAGTTGATGTATGCTCGGGAAAACATGTGAGGATACAAACTGCAAGAGACAAGAACAAGCAACATGAGGGGAAACTAAGCTGGATAGAATTGCTGATTAGTCTAATTATATGAAAACAAAACAACCCTCCCACCTCAAACCCAAACTTTATGCACCTGGAATCATTGGCAAAGAATTCAAAATAGTCATGTTCAGGCAGAGGCTGAAGATGTTCCTCGAGCTGCTCCTTGGTCAGACTGGGAGGCAAGCGCCGAATTACAACCTGACCCAGGGATGCCAGGGAGGGGGCGGTGAGGGTGGGAAGAGAGAGAAACAAAAGAGACAGGGTAAGAAGATAATGCCATCTCCCCTCCGTTTCCACTGAGCTCATTACCCAAGATGTTGCACGATAACAAAACCGTGGTCCACACAAGGCATGGGGGAAATGCCCTGCAGCAGCAGCCTCAGGCAACGTCCATAACTGAGGCCCCTGCCACAAATTAGATCATAAGAACTGCCATTTCCTGGACCAGACCATAGGTCCCTCTTGCCCAGTCTCCTGTGTCACACCCATTAGTGACCTCACTCTTCTGGCAGGCTTATAAGACTTGGTGGGCCTAGGCCGGGGCAGGCAATGTCTGGCTTGTGGGCCAGACCCAGCAGTGGACTCCATTTCCCAGCAGCCCCTGCCCACATGGCTGGGGCCGGTCTCCATAGAGACTCCAGCTGCTGACTATGATAGTGCAAGGCTGAGGTTGCCATGGAGACTGGCCCCAGCTGAGCTGGCAGGGCATGTGGCATGGCAGAGCAGGGCAAGGGGCTGCTCTGGAGCTGCTGGGATCTTGCAGTGGGGGGCAGCTCAGTCTGGGGCCAGCTGCCACCCACACGCTCCAGGCAGGGGCATGCAGGCAGTGGATACCGGCTCTGTCCTGGCTCCTTGCACCGGTGACAGCCCCGTCCAGAGCCGGGGCAGAGCCACAACCTGCTGCCTGCACACCCCTGCCCAGAGCATGCAGATGGCACATCGCAGCTTTGCCCTGGCCCCAGACCAAGCTACCCTGGCCACAAGATCCCAGCGGCTCCAGAGCAGCCCCCTGCCCTGCCCTGCTGTGCACCCTGCCAGTGCAGCTGAGGCTGGTCTCCATGGCAACCCCAGCCCCGTCCTATCACAGTTGCTAGGGGCCTCCATAGGGACCGGTCCCAGCCACGTGAGCAGGGGCTGCTGGGAAACAGAGCCCAGCTGCTGGCCAGATCCACCATGTTACCCATCCCTGCCCTAGGCTCGTGCCCAACAGCACAGCAAATAGGCCTGCGTCACACCAGGGCAGAGAGCGGATGCTGAAAGGCAGAGCAGTGCTGAAAGGCACTGCTCCTCTTGCGCACAGCTGCCGGCAGTGGGGGTCGAGGAAGTTCTGGCTCAGAAGCCAGGACCTTCGCACCTGCGCTCAACCGCTACATTACGCAAGTCCCCAGGGAAGCATGCAATGAATGCAGCCCGGCCACACACACTGTGCAGCCCCCTGGCAAAAGCATGCGATAAACGGCGACCACGTTCCCCAATGACACGTGCAACAAACACAGCCCGGCCATGTACGTCACACAATTCTTCAGCAAAGCGTGTGATAAACACAGCCCGGCAGCATACGCCATGCAATTCTTCAGTGAATCGCGCTATATACGCAGCCCGGCCGCACTCATGACGCAATTCCCCAGTGAAGCGCGCGATAACCGAGGCCGGTGACACGCCATCAAGCCCCCCAGCTGCAGGCAGAGCCGCCCGGTTGCGGAGCGGCCCCTGGGGGCGGGCGACGAGGCCGCGGTCCCGGCCGCACCTTGCTGAGCGTCTCCTTCTTCTCCTTGGGCCGCTCGGCGTCGGGCGCGGGGGGTGGTGCGGGGGGCAGCGCAGGGACCCCACGCTTCTCCTTAGGCCTAGTGTTCTCCTTGTCCTCCTTCATCGCGCCGGTCCGGCCACGCCCCCGCGCGCCCATTGGCCGCCGCCGCTCTCGCGAGATTCCCCGAGGGAGGAGTCCCGGCATGCAGCGCGACGCTGCCGCCCGGCGGAGCCAATCGGGCCGCCCCGCGCGGGGCCTGCTGGGTCGCGCGGTGCATGGTGGGGTGGCGGTGGCTGTGCCGGTGACGGGCGCGGCGCAGCGATGTGGTACGAGATCTTGCCCTTCGTGGGCATGACGTGGCTCTGCCTGGTGACGCCCGGCGTCTCGCTCATCTACTTCTACCGCTACACCAATGGCGGCAAGGTGGGGCTGGGGCTGGGGCTGGGGCTGGAGGCGGGCCTGGGCCTAGGCGGGAGGTACGGCTCACTCCTGTCCTCTGCGTGCACAGGAGAAGAGGCTGGCACGGGTCCCCTTCGAGTGGACGCTGATGGAGCGGGACCGCTATGTGTCAGGTGTGAACATGTACCACCGCAGCAAGGCAAGTGCTCCACATCACCCCTGCCTGCTGCAGGGCTGCTTCTTCGCCCTCCCCCTTTAGGTCCTTTCAGAACTGTCCCTTGGAGCAAGCGCGCGGCGTGTGCAGACCTGTGGGGGGGCTTAGTCAGGGAGGATCCCTCCTGGAGCAGGGGCCTGGGCTACACGAACCAGCCCAACTTGCACACGGTCCCATGGATTTAGTGGAATTTGGTGATTTGAGTAAAAGTAGCAATTGGGTGTGCAGGGAAGGGGGGCGGGATGTGCCATTGGGAGGCTTCACGTATTTTCTTCTGTTTTGCAGGGGTTGGAGAACATAGACTAAGAAATGAGCTTCTTGGCAGAAGAACCATAAAATGCAGTATCGTTCTAATAAATATGCACGTCTACATGAGGCGGTGTGTTTTATATGTTGTACATAAACCTATGGGCAGGAATCAGTCTTTGCGCTTGTGGCCATGATGTTTTCAAAAGAGGAAGCGGAAGTATCGCATCTGTTTGTAAGCCTTGTGGAATAGGTGCGCAAGGTCTTACGGAAGAAAAGGATGTGCTGTGGAGAGAGACTACGGAGTTCGTATTGTAAATGTTCTTCTAGCTGATGACTCTTTCAGGAGGAGACTAAGACAGTCACCTTGCTGGGGTCACCTGACCCCAGTTGTCTTTCCTGCTTGGTGCAGGGGGCTGGACCCAATGATCTTCTGAGGTCTCTTCCAGCCTTACAGTCTGTCTATGACATGCTTGCCACACGTTAGTGGAGCATAAGATTGCTAAGAAAGAGATATAGGCATAAACTAACTAATTCTCTTCTGCTACAGTTTTAACAGGCTATTAAACCAACGTTAACTGACCCCCCCCCCAAAAAAAAAACAAGCTTTGTTGATGCTGCAATGCTGATAAAAGCCAGGAGTTTTGACTTGTAACAAGTATTGGCTTCTGATTTGTACATTAATTGCCAAGTATGAACTAAGCAATTGTAGGTCCTCCATATTGAAAAGGAGAAGTTGGCATGAATGCATCCTGCAGCAGTGAAGGCATTGCTTGTTTTAGTTGAATAAATGAAATGATTACACCTCTGAGAAATTCTGAAAATCCTTACTTACTAATATGAATGTATTACTAGCCTGCACAAAACTGAGGAACAAAAGTGGGAGTATAGCATAGTCTAGGTCAGGGGGCAGCAACGTCTTTGGCCATAACGCTAAAAACACCCCACTCCAGACCCATGCCTCAAGTTGGCGTGCCAGTGGCAAACTATGGGGGAGGTGCAAGGAGCCCAATCCTTATTGCTGGCAGTGGCTGCATGTGTACCTCCAGGCAGACAGCAGAGGAGCGGCCAGGGTTACGCTGCCTGGCCTCTTCCCCACCCTGTGCCCCTAGGTATGTGTGCAGTTGCCATCAGCATGGAGCCAGTGCTGGTGCTCTGGAGCCTAGCACAGCTGTTTGCAAACTGCTGCCTACTGCAGCTGCCCAGAGCCCAGGCTGGAGGAGGGCTGCAACCAACTGCACTGGGCTCCATGGCAGTGGCTGGTGCCCATGCACCTCCAGGCAAGTGGCAGAGCCCTGGGCTCTAGGCAGCTGCAGCAGCTGGTGGGCAGGCTACAAACAGCTACACTGGGTTGTGGGGCACCATCACTAGTGTTGGAAGGGCCATGATTATGCTGCCCCAGGCCCCTCCCCCAGTATCTGCCTTGAGGTTTGTGCGCACCCTCCACAGAGGCTGCCCAGGGCTCCAGAGCCCAGTGCAGCTGTTTGCAGCCTCCTGGCTGCAAGCAGTTCAGGCTCCATGGTCAGCTGCAGATGCACAGAGCCTGGGCTGGCTGTGGCATGCCCAGCAAAATGGCCTCACATACCATGCTCTGGCACATGTGCCAGGGGTTGGTGACCCCTGATCTAGGCAATACAGCTGATGTTTATTTGTCTTATTACAACAGGTATCTTCCTGCATTACATCTCTAATATGTCTTGTTTCACGCCCCTTTTTTTAAACAAAACATACAGCAGTGTAGTGATACTCTTAGCATTCATCTGCTCAGACACACATACTCTGCTCAAAGACAAAAAGTGGTGATCTTGTAACATTTATTATTCTCAGTTAGAATTAAGTTAAAAATCACTCTAATGATTTTATTTCTTAGCAAGCCTGATTCCTGGATGCTTGGAAATTTCACTAGGGCTTCTTGCCACTCTACCTTAACCGTAGATCTAGTTTACACACTGGTTAAGTATTGTTATAATTATTTTGGTGGTGGGTTTAACCAACACAGTTAAACTTATTCTTTCACATAGCACTATGATGTTCCTAGGGTGAACATGGAGAAAGTTAAACAAGTCCGCATTAGGAGATTCTATAATAGAGCTTTGGTACAACTTTTACATGTAGCTGAGGCCTTAAAAAGTGTATTTATTATAGATGCAATTAAAATTAGCTACCAATAACAGTGACAGTCCTTAGCTGTTGGAGATATACTCTTAATTTCCATGGGTTACTAAATGCAGCTAAGCAAAAGCAGCAGGTGGAAAAGTAACATCACAGTGGTAGCTGTCCATGTAAACTTCTCACTGCCACACATAGCTGTAGGATCTGTACGTTGGAGAAGAAACGGAAATTGACTTCAATTTATAACTAGTTTTGGATATATAATTGGGGAGACAATGGCAAAGCAATTAATATGGACCTTTAGGGAGGATTTTTTCTTTTCCTGTTAATCCCAAGTTGCTTCTCAGTCAGTAATCCCTGCATTTCCTCTGGCAAAGTAAGCAAGCAGTGGACAGAACACAATGAACTTTGAATTATCCTTTGCATTCACAAGATATTTTTTGCAAAGAATGGTGATGCAGGTATGGGCACCTAAGACACGGGTGGAACCAAAGAAAGTTTGTGTGACTTGTTGTAGATCAGGGGTTCACAAGCTGTGGTACACATACCCATGGGGGTATGCAAGACACCTTGGGGGAGGGGCGTAATGGCAGTTTTAATTTTCATTGTAATAATAACTGACATTTTAAGGGGTTAAAATATAAAACATACTGGTGGGGGTACCTGGGCAGCTGGTAAATCTGGAAAGGGGTACACAGTAAGAAAAAGTTTGGGAACCTCTGTCGTAGAACAATATGGCCAAGAGATTAAAATGCATCATTTAGCCTTCAGCATGGCTATGAAAGTTTTCTGACTAGCCAGAAACAAAAGTGGGCTGCTGTTCTGTTGAGTTGGGGATATACCTGTGGTATATAACATTGGTGGGAGTTGATGCAAAAATTTCCCTTTCAATCCCTATCAGTTGGACCTAGAGAGTTGCCTCTTAATGTGGTAACTAATCTGTTTGTTTTTTGTATCCAAAACTCACATTTGCTCAGTATCAGTGGCAACTCAATAACAAGTGGATCACGCTCTCTCAGGATACCTGGAATGTTACACAGAGGTCTGGATATCATGCTAATACAACTGGAAGGATATTGGGGGCAGAAGTATATAGGTCAGGAAGAGGAATAAAAATAGCTAAGTACATACAGCTTGACTATGAGGTAATGAAGGGGAGGGCATGATTAAAACAAATTCAAAGAAGACATGCACATAGAAGACTAGTATCCCCTATATTTCTGATACACCAGTGCTACTTAATGCCTATATAATTCCCTTTTGTGGTAATGGACATTTGCCCTACATTGTAATGACACATTCAGTAATTACTCACCTCTCCATAGTACTTTGGATTTGATATTGAGCCAATAGATTTCACGAGAGTGTGCCACAGTTGCTCTGTTCAAAAGGAAAAAGCATAAAGCAATGACTACAAAGGGGAAGACCCCTCCCCAGCATTACAAAAATATTCCTATAGTTATTGGAGATGCTGTGTAGCATCCTGTGTTTCATTATAAATTCATTAGCAAGTAGTAGCATATGCCTAACCTCATAGGAAAATAAATCCACTCCATTGCACGTGTACAGAAAGGAGCTGTCAGTCTGATAGCTAAAGATTTTTCTTTCCCCAGAAGAGGGCAGGATACAATTTTTTTCCAGGAGCTTTTGCTGTTTACTCTAGCAGTATAGCAGTTTCTTTTACTTCAGTCTCTGTTGTAACTCTCAGGGAATTAATCAGTCTTAGTCATGTACAGCTGTTGCTTTTCTGGGGACCCCATTGCTAATTGTTCCTCTAGTGTGTCATAGGTGGAATTTTCAAAAGCACCTAAATGACTGGGGTGCAGAAGCCCCTGGAAATTAATGGAATTTGTCCCCTGGAATCATTTAGGTGCTTTTGAAAATCCTACTTTAATGTGGTCATAAAAGGTGCAGATGTTGGTACCGTACAGATACAGAAAGGGGAAAAAATATGCTTGAGCTGTGTGCCTGAGGGGGAGGGGACTGTGCAGGAGGGGGAATAACAGAAAAGCCACTTACATGAATGCAATGAGTGGAGGGCAGCCTGAGCTTGGGGGTAGCCAAGTGTATGTGGTCAGGCTTGTTTTTAATTCCATGTTAGAATGAGTGACTGCTCCTTGTGGGTTCCCGGAGCACTGCCAAGAAAGGGAAATCCATCAGTGCGCTGTTTACACCACGCATAGAAAACCCTGTCCCACAATTTACCTGCTCTTACAGTTTGCATGTGAAAAATCTGAGTTTTGGCCATTATCCATAACCTCCCCTGCCCTCACAGAAGCCCAGGAAACAGACCTGCAACACAACATGTCCAACTGCTCCCACTATGCTCAAGCTGTGTCAGTGGGGATCCCTTCATCCCAGAACACTGACACTGGGGAGATCAGAGAGCAACCACACCCCACAGGTATACAGGTGTAGAGGCCATTGTGATTTCAGCACGCAGTGGGTGCATCTACACGTGATGCTACATCACCGTAGCAACATGATACAGCTACATAGATAGCGTCTGCGGGTAAGAACCGTGACACTACAGGTACATTGCTGTAGCTACATGCCTTATTATAGAATGTTGCTATGGCAACATAGCAGGTAAAAATAACCTTGCGCCACATGCACAGTGCAGTACAGGCTGTTACTGCACCATCATTTAGCACTTCCAAATGTACTAAAATGACAATGTAGTAACAAAGGCACCAGAGGGACACGTGTAGATGCACCCAGTCAGTCAGCCAGCCAGCATGTGCATAATCACCAAGCCATGTGATAGTGTCCTTAGTGGCCATGTGCAATTCCTGTAGTCTGCTACAGGACAGCAAACAGTGTGAAGCTAGGACACCCAGCCCCATCAACGCCACCTAGCAATGGAGAGGGCATACTCTTGGCAGTCCTCCCAGTTATGGCTGCTTATACTCAGCTGCAGGAGAGGGGAGAGTTACTCAGGTTGTCCTACAGCTGTGTGGATTCTCCTGCCTTTGGGGGCAGAGCAGACCACTTGCTGTGGAGTGTAGCTCCAACCAGACCATCTCACACAGCTGAGTGCCCAGTCTAGCTCTGTGGGTCTCTGGCCTTTATAGACGGACTCCTCCTTGGTGGAGGAGATGCTTCTAGCTCACCTGTAAGAACCGGGTGTTATTAGGGGGGGCTCTGCCAAGTGCCAAGTGCAGCAGTGGAGCCAAACATGCGAGCCTCCAACAGCAGGCCTCGGTACTCCGGCCCCAGAACCTGCACTGGGGACAGGAAACGCATCTGCTGCATGTTAGTTGTTCAGAGGGATGCCACTTTCTCCAGTGTTAATTAGCTATGAGTCCCCACTTAAATACACCAGCTCTGTCTGCAAACATATCCCTGAGGTGCTGGTGTTGGTTTGGGACTTTGGAGCCCCTTGTTCAATTCCCTACTTTGCAACTGATGTCCTGTATGGCTCTGGGCATGTCACTTCATCTCCCTGTGCCTCATCTTCCCATTCTGCAAGAGGGGATGATATCACTTCCCTAGCTTACAGGCAGACTGCAGAGGCTGTATTGGTTTCTTTACAGTGGTAACAGGAGCCCTTAAAATCCCTTAGAGAGAACTATTTAATTTAAGTGTAACCAGACTGCAGAGACAACTCTGCCTAGGTATAACAGTGGGTGGGTTATAAACAGGGAAAGGGTTCTCAGCTGCTTCTCCACTGGGTGCTAGTCCTGGGGCTTCTGAGCAGCTACCCAAGACTTTCTCTCCTTTCATGCCTTAAATTCCATGCCCTGGGAGAAGCGTTGCTCTGAGGAGACAAGACCAAGGGTTGCAAGAGACCCGAAGGAAAGGGACTGGTAAGAAAAGTGCAGGTGGGATGCAGCAGGACTGTTGTGGGGGCAGAGGGAGTCAGAGAGAGAATGCTAGTTGTGAAGAAAGGGATGAGAGACTGAGGCAGGAGGGAAAGCAAGCATATGCTCTACAGTATCCTAGACAAGCAACTCCACATAGACTTGCAGGATGAGTATGGGGCAGATGGCTTCAGAGTCGGGACCCCTGGCTTCCACTCCCAGTCCTGCCACTGACTTCTATTGCCTCCAGTCCTCACCCAGCCACCAGCCTTTTCACAGAGAACCAGTGGGTGTTAACAACTTCTGATTACTGCTCCCTTGTACAGCTGTGCCAAGAGGTGACAACCCTGCATCAGTGTTTGATTTCTGAGCTGCCTGGTACCTGTTAAAGGTCCCTTCTGATTTGTATATGGACCTAACCCTGCAAGAGGCTTTCCTCTAGACATCACAGATTCACCTGATTTTTTTTCACTAGATTGTCAACACAGCAATAGCACAGTGAGGCCTGCACATGCTGAAACCAGCTGTTACATCGTGGCTTACTTAGTTTGCAATCCAGAGATGCTTTCCTTTTCTTCAAGCTTGCTTTGTGAGGCTTTCCCCCACACATCGTTCTCAAGTTTGCCTGCTGCTTGTCGCCCATTTTACTATGTTCTCAAAAGCATTCAACAAATAGAAATTCTCCAGTTCAGGGAGAAAACAGGATGGGAGGGAGGCCAATAAAAGTCCCCTTGTCCTGTGACATAAAGCAGCATGGAAAAGGCAGGGGACTACAACCAAGTCACCAATCGTAAGGCACATCACAAATCCAGCTAAGAAGTCTGAACCACATTACCAGTAATTGGCTGTCCGTTGGTGAAGGAGTGTGCCCACACCTGCAATTCATAGGGGGCGGGATGTGGCCGGGAGTGGACCCCCAAGTGAATAGGCTTCATTGTCTTGCAGGCTGATGCTGGGGCTCCTGTTGGAAATGCAACACAGGGAAAAGCTGTGGTCCAAAAGATGAGAGTGCTGAGGAGAAGCAAAGGAGTCCAGAGAGCCATGGCTGAGGGGGGTTGCCTCTCTCCTTTGACACAAAACTGAATCCTCTGAGAGTAGAAACACTTAAGGCAGGGGCAAGAGGAGGACGGCTCTGCCTGAGTCACTTACCCATGACCGATTCATTTTCTGTCCTTGGCTTTGAATGTTCTTCACGCACATGCCTAATAAACACAGGCTGGGGTCAATGGTTTCTAGCAATTACCAATCTGAAGAAGGGATCTTTTGGGATAACTTAAAGGCATTTGCTTTCACTGCCTGCTTTAAGGCACATGTCTTGCACCACCTCTTTACAGAAAGGTCTCCAAGCCTTGCTCTGTAAGAGCTGTTTCCCCATGAGTCAGATTCTGGGGTGGTCAGGGCAGGGCCCAAAGGTATTTAGGCACTGAACTCAGCCCCTGCTTTTTAAGGGTTTTGTAAAGCACTGGTGACAAAGAATTTGTTCCTTCTTAATAAATGACTCAAACCTGTAAGACCTAACCTCCCCAGAAAGCTAGGTTCTAATCCAGGGGTGGGCAAAATGCAGCCTGCAGGCCAGATGCAGCCTGCCAGGCCATTCTATCTGGTCCGCGGGGCCCCTAAAAAATTTAGAAAATTAATATTAATCTGCCCCTGGCTGCCTGTCATGCAGCCCTCGATAACTTGCCAAAACTCAGTAAGCGGTCCTCTGCCCAAAATAATTGCCTGTCCCTGATCTAATCCAAACTTCACACAGCTGGACGTTCTCTCCTGAGCATTGGTTGGGGACGGTGAGGAGTTCCCTCAGCAGCATTGGTGCTGGGTTTGAAAATAAATTCAAAACTTAGCCCAAGCTCCTCTCTAGAAGACGACCCAGGCCTTCTCTGCTGCTTTTGCTTCCCAGTCTCTCACTCCTTCATGTGTTCTGGCTTTGCTCTCCTAACTTGTCTGGTAGCTTTGCTATAAATGGCCACTGAGGCAGTTATAAGATAGAAATAATTCTCAGTCACTCTTAGCCTGGGCTGTATTCCGATCTTTATCAGCATCTGAAGTGAGTTTCAGTCCACAAAGTGTGTGTGTCTCTCTCTCTCTCTCTCTCTCTCTCTCTCTCTCACACACACACACACACACACACACACACACACACACACACACACGTTAGGCTATAAAGTGCAGACCTCCCCTGTGGCGGGTGCAGAGATCCCACCTCAGGAACACAGCTGGGTATTCGTATCCCTCTGCTGTTTCCACCATGTGAGGTGGGCCAGTAGGGGGTG